ATTTATTAATGATCCTCGTGAAAATAACAGATTAGTTGAATGTAATTTATTAATGATCCTCGTGAAAATAACAGATTAGTTGAATGTAACTTATTAATGATCCTCGTGAAAATAATAGATTAGTTGAATGTAACTTATTAATGATCCTCGTGACTAATTAGTTTTACAAGTACCACAAATTGCTCATTCCTGACGGGATCAAGTTTGTCAGAAATTATCTGTAATAATAGTGATGCCAATGATTAAGAACTTATTGGTGAATCTGAAGAAAAGATACAATAGTAACTCAACAGACTTGTTGTTATTAACAGTCAACAATACTAAAATAGAGGTAATTTCACAGCCTGAAGAGCCACCCCCCCCCTTAACAAATGGGATATGAAAAAATGAGTGCGTAATGGATTAATCTTCTTGAGTTGCATGAGTTGAAACAATTTATTAAAGTGTTTTGACTGTACAACAGTAAAATAAACAGCATTTGGCTGAAACTACAATACAATTGTTTTATAAATAATGTATTAATACAATTTCTCAACTTCAGCTTGTTCGACTAACTAATTCATCCAACTTTTTATATTTGCATACAAACATTTGTCAGAAGTAGTTTTAGTTTGTCAGTCAGATCTGACCCCCCCCCCGATGTGAATCTTTAGAAGGGTAGTTCTTAATAACAGGACTTTTCCTGCAGGGATTAGTACAGGTTGATTTCTAGGAGTCTATTACAACTGAAAATATTCTGTCGTTCAGCTGGGCTTGAAGCAAACATCGGAATGGATTATTCAGTCAAGGTCATCCCACTGCAGCAAAAATACCCTTCGTATCAAATGTTCCTTCAGCATTAATTTTCCTCCTATTTTTTCTTTTTCATACATATGTACAAGTACTTGTACAATGAAGTTGTGTGACTTTCTCCTGTTACCAAGCTGTGAAATAGATGAACATGTGTAACATGAGTTGAACGTGGTTTCCTGTGTATAAATAGAAGAAGTAACACAATAAAATTTTTTATAACTGTTGGGCCACTCTGTCACTTTGGTAATAATAAATGTCAAGTAATTTTAAAAACTGTACATTCATAATATTAAATAATGCCCTAATCTCACAAAACCTTGTATTGTTTATATCGAGCTAACTATACAAGTATCAAGACAACTTGTGAAAATATAATTTTGAAAGTTTTTTTTTCTCTCTCTTTCTCTGCAAGTTTTGATTCATAACTCGTGTAAATTATTACATGCATACATGAGATACTATATAAACTTTGTTTTTGTCTTGTTAATAAGTGTTCAAAGATAAATGTTATGAGAAACATGTAGGCGATAAAAACCAGTTTTGTAATCAAGAAATCATAAATTTTGCATTTTAATTTTTTGGAAAGTTTTGAGAAATCACTTTCTAAAATAAATGGTAATAAGTGAGATACAAATAATATTTATCTAAAAATAAATCTGTCACAGGGAGAGTTTTGTTTCTGTAAACATGGCAGTAAATGGTTTTGTTCTTTCAGTGGCAGGACTCTATTTATTTCTCAAAAAAAGTTTGATAGGAGTTATTTCTACTCATTTTATTGTTTTATCATTGAATTCCAGGTAACAAATATTTAATTTTGACATTTTTTAATGATGATCTGTGTTCAATAATATAATTTATTCATAACAGACGTATGTACTGAGAACACTTGTAAAGAAAGCATCTTTCTTGGACATTTTTTTTTTTTAATCTATAGAACACAGACAAAATACTGTGAGGCTACTTGTACACCTTCAAACAAACAATGAATAGGTTAAACATGTAAAATGCTCATAAACAAAATCACTGGTGTTTCATTTCAAGGGCTATAATTAGCCAGTGGGAACTCAAACCTGCTGTATATTTACATAAACTACCCATCAATTACTTCTGAAGCTAGAATTTTAACCTTCGTAATGGTGGTTGTGTACAAGCCAAGCTGTACTCTTCCACGATTTGTGTCGTATCTTGCCTCGTGTTTGTAGAATAACTTTTTTTTTTCTTTATTCTGTGACTAATGTTCTTGTATAATTTTTATATTTGTAGAGAAAACTTGGTTATGAATTTTTATTTATATTTTCAGGCCAGCGTTATTGAGAGCAGTATCAGAAACGGGCTTCATCAGTAAATTAAAGTCGTCGGTAAGTTGAAAAACAAAACTTTGTATGCGGAACTGAGAACAAGTGTGAATGATTAAATCTAGTAGAGATGAAACCTTGTTTCTGATTGTCATCAAAAACTTTCATTTCAGGAAGGGAAAATAAAAGTCAACTGTGGTTATGTCCACAGGATAGTTGTTTCTTGTAGAGGACATTTGTAGCAGGACTGTAACGTCTATTTGACCTTGGTAAAACCACGAATTTCCTAATTTTGAAGATACCCAATTGATCTCCTCAGTTAGAAAGGGCTTTAGGCCTTGTTTGAAAATAGTGTGCTTAATTCGAAGTAATTTTTGTGATAATTCATGTAGGAATCAGTAGGCTTAAATGGACCAGTAGAAAGGTCTTTAAAAATGTAATGTAAGTTGTCTAAGTTAGATGGCTTTATGTAGATTTATGTTGTCTTGTATCTTTCTCTCATTAGCTGACATGTATTTTCTTCAGTGTCATATTATGTAATTGAACAAACAATGAAACTGTTCAGTCGTTAACCCTATGTGCAAGGGTTGGGGTTAAAAATGTGCATGTCACGACCTTTTATAGCTGTATGCAAAATTTACTTAAAACAACTTTATCTTCAATATATGTCAGTAAATTTGGCATCAAGATGTAATTTATAATTGAACATTTAATGTTATTAAACTTTTAATTTTTTAGTTCCTAAAAAAAGCAATTTAAATAAATTTCTCAATATTCACATATTTGTTATGCGAGAGGCCTCTTTGATCTGAATTAATTGTTTTCGATTTTCTTTCCAACCACGTATGGTTTTCAGAATGTCCACCAATTAGAAAGACCAACTGCAGATATTGACGAGCCAAAATTTTAATCTCCGACAAAGGTCCACTCTTTCTTTTTGAAATTACCTATTTACTAACATTTACGTATTAGCGATGCTTGTTAATAACCAATAGAAAAGCTATTTTGTGAACTAGATTATTATGAAGTCTTTATGTTAATTCATTTCAGCAAAAGGCACTATTTCCCTAGAAAATTTTATTGGGTGAAACTGAAGGAAATTTTTAAACTTTTTTTTTTATAGGTCACGTAGAAAGTCAGGTAAATTAAAATTTGGGGCATTCTGTTTTATTGTTTTAATATAGTTTGTTTTAAGTTGGATATTTGAAAGCTACAAAAACTACTTTTCAGATGACCAACTTGTGGAGAAAAATTTACAGTTAATGAAAAATTTACTTCTGAGAGCAAGTCCTCAATTTTAAAATTAGTGCTAAATTATGAATTTTTTTATTTATTGATATATATATATTGTTAAGCCTAAGTTTGCAAACTAATATATATATATTATTGATATATATATATATTGTTAAGCCTAAGTTTGCAAACTAATTTCACAAAATATTTGCTTTAAGAAACTGTTTTTGTAGTTATTGATGTTTTCTTTTCTGTGGTTGTGCTTTGTTAAGCCTAAGTTTGCGAACTAATTTCACAAAATATATATATTTTATGACAAAAATAACTAAACTGTAAGAATTAAAAACTTTTTAGATTCCATACAACAAAAAAAACCTTAGACGAAAAGAAATACATTTTTCAACCTGATTAATGTAGTTCTGTATGTAGTTAAATGTCATGTAATATAACCTGAAATTTTGTTTACCCTGAACTATTCTCGCACCTGCTGGAAGATTTATTGCTAATCGTTGTAGTAGGACAAGGTTCAATGAGCAACGAAAAAACAAGGGTAAAATTAAATAAAGAGAGATGTAAATTATTATGAGTCCGAGTCTGTTTTGGATAAATAATTGTAATTTTCTGTTACATTTTAGTCCTCCTATAAAGCAGAAAGGTTAATTTAAATACTTTCTTTTTATTTGTTTTCGTTGTTTACAAGGTTGGTAAAATGGGAGGAGCTTGTATAGTGTTAAGGTAGAATAAACAACAGATGAAATACAGTTTTCCTGAAAGAAAAAAAAACAACAATTCATTTAGGAGGTTCTAGAGGTTTATGCAAATGAAATATGAAAACTGTAAGATGAAAAAAAAAACAAACTTTAATTCATAATTTGAAAATCACTTTCAACTCAGACTAATCAGGCTTAAGTAAATTCAGAGAGAAATCTTTAGTAGAAATACATATTAAATTTATGTAATTTACTTTTTGTGTGTTTATTAAAAGCTTCCTAAAATATGTGATGATATACTAAATAAATCTGGAATCGTAGTAGACAATTCTCCAATAAGGGTTCAGTTCAATAGACTGAACAAACCTGTGCCTATAAGATTAAGAATTAAGATGGTTTTCACAGCTTATTATTTTATTTGATAATTTCAAGTTCTCCTTCAATTTTTAATGATACTGTTTTCTGTATTACAGGGTAGGAATATAGTAATATTTTATGGGTCTCAGACGGGTACAGCAGAAGAATTTGCAGCTAGAATTGCCAAGGACGCAGGTCGATATGGCATGAAAGCCATGGTATCCGATCCAGAAGAATGTGAGATGGTTAGTAACTACACTTGTAGTTTTACAAAAAGTATGAGTGTTTAATTAAATAGTTTGTTGGGATTAAACTGTACTTGTAGTTCATGAAGCACTTTTTAAGAAAATATTTTTTTTATCTTTTGCAATTAAAAAATCCACAATCCAAATTTTAGCAGTGTTGCTTTATCTCACTGAAGCTTGATTCTCTATTTTACTGTCTTTTAAAAAAATTGTTCTAGTGTTGTTGATATATTTTCCTCAAGTTTACTGTGTAATTTGAGCAGAACAGTGTTTATTTTTGTTTTCTTTTCTGTGGTTGTGCTTTGTTAAGCCTAAGTTTGCAAACTAATTTCACAAAATATTTGCTTTAAAAAACTGTTTTTGTAGTTATTGATGTTTTTGAAAATGAAAATTCTGATTTTGCTAATGTAGTTTTGTTTGTAGTAGCTGATGACTTAATGTTCTTGAGCAGCTTGGAGCAGTAAATTAAGTCATCAGCTTGGAGCAGTAAACTCAAGAACATTAAGTCATCAGCTTGGAGCAGTAAACTCAAGAACATTAAGTCATTGTTCTTGAGCTTGCTGCTCCAAGCTGATGACTTAATGTATTTGTCTTGATGTTACATGAAGCAGATGGATCAGTTGGTTCATGCTTGTGTATATATCAAGTATTTGTCTTGATGTTACATGAGGTAGATGGATCAGTTGGTTCATGCTTGTGTATATATCAAGTATTTGTCTTGATGTTACATGAAGTAGATGGATCAGTTGGTTCATGCTTGTGTATATATATATCAAGTATTTGTCTTGATGTTACATGAGGTAGATGGATCAGTTGGTTCATGCTGGTGTATGTGTCAAGTCAAGATATTATATAAAATAAATAGATGAGGGGTTTCATGCTACTATGTCTGATGAGGTGATACATACAGGAAAGAATAATAAATGCATTATTAAATCCTGAGTTATAATTTGTAAACAGTCCATTTGTTGAGAAATGTGATTAACAGTTGTACTGTTTCTCAGAAGTGCAGCATTGTTACAAAACAAACAATTTATAAGAGCTACTAATCAAGTAATTTGATTAAAATGAAATTACCTAAATTGTGAGTAAAAACTCAGTAACTTGTTGCTTATTATTTAATTTCAGTTTCTCTTCTGAATAATTAACCTAGTTCACCCATAACATAGTTTCATGTTCGGCTGTCCATAACACGGTCTCTTGTTTATAACGGTCTCTTGTTTATAACACAGTCTCTTGTTTATAACACAGTCTCTTGTTTATAACGGTCTCTTGTTTATAACACAGTCTCTTGTTTATAACACAGTCTCTTGTTTATAACACAGTCTCTTGTTTATAACACAGACTCATGTTTGGCTGTCCATTACACAGTCTCATGTTTATAACACAGTCTCATGTTTGGCTGTCCATAACACAGTCTCATGGTCGGCTGTCCATAACACAGTCTCATGTTCGGCTGTCCATAACACAGTCTCATGTTCGGCTGTCCATAACACAGTCTCATGTTCGGCTGTCCATAACACAGTCTCATGGTCGGCTGTCCATAACACAGTCTCATGGTCGGCTGTCCATAACACAGTCTCATGGTCGGCTGTCCATAACACAGTCTCATGGTCGGCTGTCCATAACACAGTCTCATGTTTGGCTGTCCATAACACAGTCTCATGTTTGGCTGTTTATAACACAGTCTCATGTTTGGCTGTCCATAACACAGTCTCATGTTCAGCTGTCCATATGTTTAAAGGAACCATTTACAGATTATTTTAAATTTACTTAGACCTGAAAATGAGACAGTCACAGGAGAAGGAGACTTCTAAGTCTTCGGAAAAAGCCAAAATTAAACACCAAGGAAAGAGCTACTAGCTTTTACTCACAATTTAGTTTCATTCTCTAGTTGTATAAGTAACTTTTACTTTGTTTTTTGTTAATGCAATAAGAAAAAAACAAAATTATTCGATATTGACTGAAAAGTAGTGTACGTGAGATTAAAATTCATTGTGTGAGTATACAATCTGGTGTGATCATAAATTTAGTCAGCTGTTATTAGGGTATTATCCACATGTGCACGTTTAGATTGTTTAGTATCTTTAATTCTTTGAACCTACTTGTTTTGTAGAAGGAGTGCTCCTGCAACCACTACAGATACAATACTCAAATCTTGGTGCATAACAAGTGGTTGATACTCTCCGATATGTATTCAATTGTTTCTTATGTAATATTTTTCTACCTGCAGGAGGAATTGACAAAACTTTCAGAAATTGACCGGTCATTAGCAGTATTTTGTATGGCTACTTATGGAGAAGGAGATCCTACGGATAATGCTCAAGAGTTCTATCAGTGGCTTCAAGAGGGAGCTGCTGAACTCGCAGGTCTCCGTTATGCTGTAAGTTATGCGAATATAAGTTTAAAATTGCTTTATCGTTGCCACAATTATCACTCTATTTATTACTCCCTCCTCTCTCTCTCTCACACAAATGTATTAGCATTGAAATCAGCAAATCACATGTGAAAAATAGAATATTATAAATAGCCCCCTCCCCCCGCAGTTTGCAATGCCCCCCAGAGGAATTAATGAGGGGCAATACAGTTGTGGGCTGGAATTTTATTCATGATGGATGTTTGCTTTCCAGTACAAGCTTTTGAACATTAACATTTAATGTGTAGATAATTCAATTAATATCACTTGCAATAGAAAACGGTTAAAATTTAAATGATCTGATACATTTGGTTCCTTTACGTACTCACCCGTTCTTCCGTATAAATGTGTTTAAATGATCTGATACATTTTGTTCCTTTATGTACTCGCCCGTTCTTCCGTATAAATGTGTTTAGATGATCTGATACATTTGGTTCCTTTACGTACTCACCTGTTATTCCGTATAAATGTGTTTAAATGATCTGATACATTTGGTTCCTTTACGTACTCACCCGTTTTTCCGACTAAATGTGCAAAATATTTTGATTTTTGGATTAATTCTTTTTTTATTAACATGATTTATTGAAAATGTATACTTTTGTTTCAATAGTTTGTTTTAAAATATACCGTGCATTCCTAGTTATCCCTTATTTGTTTTGTTTTTTTCTTAACCAATTAATAGTTTCACTTTTGACAGTTTAAAAACATTTAGAGAGTAGCAAATAAACATGGAGCCCATGTAACTTTCAGAAGCTTGAGTATTTAAAAAAAAAACTTGGTTTGTATCGTTCGACTTTTACTTAAGTTTCATTTTTTATACTTTGTTAAGTTTACACTTAGCTTCACATTATTTTTAAATCACTGAAATGAAAACGAAGATTAATTATCATACTTCTGTTATTTTTGCATAGTTTCACACGTATATATCGTATTTAATTACTATTATATAGGCACTGAAGCCTTAGTTATTCCACCATGACACATTTTACGATTGGTTGTAAAAAAAAAAGTATCTTTCCAAGAAGAATACTGAAATGTCAGTTATGGAAAAATTATATATAGGGCTAGCTTTAAACAAAATATACAATTTTTTTTTTAAGATTTATTTTAAAACAAAGTTTTTTTAAAAATCTTGCAGATTTATTAATTTTAAAATTCATCTGAATTTTAAGTTTCACTTGTTCCTTTCTTTGAGGTTTTTGGTCTTGGCAATAAAACTTATGAACATTATAATGCCATGGGGATATTTGTCGATAAAAAACTGGAAGAAATGGGAGCAACTAGAATTTGTGAACCAGGAATGGGTGATGATGATGCCAAGTAAGTTAGTCTAAATTACAAGAAAGTTAATTCATCTTTGACAAAAGTCTGTATAATGAATTAAAAAAAAAATCCACTATTTGTTTTACTGGTTGTCTAACTCTCTAAGGAATTTAATTAGATTATTCCTTCGTTAGCCTTTAACCGAGATGACCGGAACATTAACGTCAATTAAACATGACCGTGCTACATATCTCGTATTCTTGAGATGATTTGATGTGACGTTAGCTCCAAGTGTGATGATTAGATAGTTGGAAAGAGTAAATAAAATGAATTTTTTTGAATAACAAATGTATTTGATGAAGGGTATATCTGTTTATTGAATTAAATCACATGCTTTAAAAGTTTCATTACTTAGCTTAAAACTTTAGCTACCTGGATAGGGTTTTGTCAGTGCATTCAGATGGTGTTTGAGGCTGTCAGCACTCGGTTTAATGACCTTTTAATTTTCTATTTGTGATTGTTAAGGTCACATTTAGGTAGACGTGTGTATGTATCAGACCATCTTCTGTAATGCAATTGTAGAAATTATGCGTGTTCCAATACCTCTCACTTTATATTCTTTTGACCCCCCCCCCCAAAATATTAATAGTGGGTCTAAGTGGATTTCTGGGGAAGTATAGATTCAGACCTGCTGAATATCTTTAATTGACAAACCTGAGAATTAGTTTATTCAAATGATTTGTCACACAGCTGAGTTGGTTTCTGCTAATGTGAAATGTCAGGATTTGAGTCTTGATTTCAAAATTATATGAACTAAGACCATGTATGTTACTGGGTGACATCTCTAGTGTGGTATGGGTGTGAGTGTCAGTCAAAAACCTGTCAGTATTGGTTTTGTAAATTCAAAGATTATGCACTGGTAATATTTTGTATCGGTTGTGCGATTACAATTAGGTGATTTTTATGCTTAAAGTTAAATGAAATTCAGTTACTTAACCTATTTTATAATTTATAATTTTATATATATATATATTTTTTTAATTTATGATTTTAATCCTGAAAAATTGTAGCTCAGACTCAAAGGCAGTTTCTCTTTATGTTATTAGCATTGAAGAAGACTTTATTACATGGAAGGATAAGTTTTGGGCATCAGTTTGTGAGTACTTCAACATCGAGAAATCTGGTGAAGATATTAGCGTACGCCAATACCAACTTATCGTTCATACTGATCTTCCAGAAAATAAAATCTTTACGGGAGAAGTGGCTCGTTTGAATTCCTTCAAAACTCAAAAGCCGTATGTTGAGTAGATACATTTTAAATTTATCTAATACACAAACAGTTTGCACGTACGGAAGATAAAGAAAAGATAATCATGAAGCTAAAAGTTATTGAGTACTTTTGCTATTTTTTTTATGGTGAAGTGTTATATTTAAAATAATAAATACAACGTTTGGCTATAGATTGTTTATAGGCTTATGGTTTTTTTTGTCAGAATATTAGCTCCTAATTCACCACATCATATTTTTGTTTAGTTTGACTTGCCGATAATTCTTAGGTAGATTAGTAGCCACATTGGATATATATTCAGGTTTAGAGTACATGAATAGAATGTCGATAATGTTGAGTTGCTCAATTTTGCGGTGTTTGCGATATTACCTAATCTTTGAGCTAAAGCGAAAATTTTGGCTTTTTGTTTCACCCAAGTGTTCTTGGATGTATTTCTGAATTACATCAACTCCAAAGAATTAATATAATCAATATTGTTTAACTAGAGAAGCAACTACACAGGGAATTATTATGCAGATCAGGATATCGCTAATATTACGCACATTATCAAGTGGATTTACATGGTATTGGAAAGTGCATTAGGTTTAATAATGACGACGTGTGAGAAAGATCCAGAAGCAGCAGTGACATGCTTGTTATGAGTAGAGAATGACAGTAATTGGATGAAGGGAAAGAGAATATTTTTTTCTTATTAATTTTTTTTTCATTCACTGCCGATGCGGCATGGCTTCATGAGTAAATCTTTGACTAAAAAGTGTGTAACTGTCTCAGCTAAGTAGATGCAGATTGAATTCCAAGCTACTAGTGCAAGGATAAGTATGAACAAGTACAAGTATCTGTGTATATATACACTAAGTATATGCTAGCTGTGGTCGCATTGCAAGGGCTCGGTATAGTGTTCGATACTGCACTCTGCGTGCTTATTACTCTTGGAGTTGCATCCCTCAGTGGTGAATAATAATGAATTCAGTTTATTTTGAAAGCCATTTTAAAACAGATCTTACATTTTGAAAGCGTATGCATAGTGTTTATAGTTAAGCACAAAGCTACACAATGTTGTGCTCATCATGGGAATCAAAAACCAGTTTTTTAGCATTGTAAGCGTCTTCAGACTTACCGCCGAGCCACTCGGTGCTAGCAAACTGAAATTTGCTCTTCGCATTCACCCATTGTGTTTGTAATACTAGACAAGAAGTGCTGGGGGTAAAGACAATTTTGGAATTTTCTGGAAAACTGGTTGATATCTTGCAGTCCAGTTCTAGAGGTGCATAATGTTCAGGATAAAACAAATCATATCACATTTCTAATATAGAAGAAGAGTTATAAATGAGTATATTTTATGCATTATGAGCCAATTATGTAAACAGAAAACGCTACGGAAGTTTTGTTTTTTTCCCCTTTTATTTTTGGTATAAAACTACCATTTTCTATTTTTTTTTTAGATATTTATTTTTTTACGATTCCCATTAAGAAAGGTAAGGAATAAATATATTTTTTTATTTAGCCCCTTCGATGCAAAGAACCCTTACCTGGCACCAGTCAAGATCAACAGGGAACTGTACAAGGGCTCCAGATCTTGTATGCATGTTGAATTAAACATAGCTAATTCAAAAATAAGGTAAAAGCTTGTTTTCATAGAATACTTTTTTCAAGCTCTTTATTTCTGCATCATTCATCAAAATGTACACAAAGGTGATTTTTAGGAATTATCTCATTTAATACTTGTTTCCATCTGAAGAAGAAAGGACCACCTTTTTTTAGAGTGCGTGGGTTATAGGGTATCATATCTTTATGTAAATACTGGGCACATTTCAACCAAAATAAATTTGTAAATTGTTGGTGAAAGATTAAATTAATATTTTTAGTAATTTTGTTTAATATTTATCTCTTCTCTCATGTTGCAAACTTAATTCTGTTAAGCCTAACTAATTTTGAAGGGCGTCTAGAATCTTCTATAGGGGTATACTGGATTTCTAGTGTTATTTTTGTAGAATTGTATTTACATAAGTTAATCACGACTGTTTGTTCGATTTGTTTCATGAAAAAAGTCGGTTTTGTGTAGAAGCTAATCCACCAAGATCATATTCACTCTTCTAGGTATGAATCTGGAGACCATGTTGCTGTTTATCCAACAAATAACCCTAAACTTGTGGAGCAGTTAGGAAAGTTGCTTAATGTTGATTTGGACACTGTTATCTCCCTTAAAAACCTTGATGGTAAGTTATATCCTGAATTTCTCTACTGTGAGATTTGGCTAATCCTATTGGATGAATTGTGTAGTAACGTTTTTTCTTCTAAAGTTATGCCTTTGAGATTCTTGTTCTTTTGACTAACATTACATCTTTGAGGAATATATACAGAAACTTGAGCAATCTCAAAAAGTGTTCTCTCTTTTTTTCTTCTTCTTCTTCTTTCATCAGGAGCTCTGAATGAAGAGAAAACTACTCTTTCAATACATTTTCAATCCTATGGGTTATTTCATAACTTTTATAATCACTGTGTTCTAATCTCATTGTGTTATCTTACTCCAGCATTACGCAGCAGTTATGCTGACTCCAGTAAACATCTTGCTCCAGCATTATGCAGCAGTGATGCTGACCCCAGTAAACATCTTGTTCCAGAATTACGCAGCAGTGATGCTGACCCCAGTAAACATCTTGCTCCAGCATTACGAAGCAGTGATGCTGACCCCAGTAAACATCTTGCTCCAGCATTACGCAGCAGTGATGCTGACCCCAGTAAACATCTTGCTCCAGCATTACGCAGCAGTGATGCTGACCCCAGTAAACATCTTGCTCCAGCATTACGCAGCAGTGATTTTAACCCCAGTAAACATCTTGCTCCAGCATTACGCAGCAGTGATTTTAACCCCAGTAAACATCTTGCTCCAGCATTACGCAGCAGTGATGCTAACCTCTGTCAATAAGAGTTCAAGATATTTACCAGAGTGTCTATGAAAAAAATAAATAAAAAATGTCTTCAGGCTGTTTGATTTTGTGCTTTTCACATAGATTTCTTCAGATGGCTTCCTTAAAATCAATAATTTTTAGCAATTAATTAACTCAATAAATTTTTAGCAATTAAAATAGAATCCATCAGTGTTTTTTGTTTAATTTCTTTCAGAAGTTACTAATGGACGAAAATAACCATTACATTTTAAACATTAAATATGTCTGTTTCTTTTCATTAGAAGGAAATATCGCCTGTTCCAACTAAGTTGGTTGATGTTTCAGATCTTGCCATTTTCATGCTACTTGTTTTGAAATTATCTGTTCCTTTTGTTAACTATTTATGGAAGTTCAGAGAGCTCTTCATCTCGGTTTTAATTCAACTTACTTCGTCATCGCTGATTAATAAAGGGAATTAAAGAAAAGTTACCGAGTCTCGAAGATAATCATTTTGTTCTCTCTTGCTAGAGGATAGCAGCAAAAAGTATCCTTTCCCTTGCCCCTGCAGTTACCGTACAGCTTTACTACATTACATCGACATCACCAGCCCACCGCGTACGCACGTCTTAAAGGAAATTGCAGAATACACAACAGATGAAGAAGAAAAACAAAAGTTAAAGTTAATGGGCTCCTCTTCAGAAGATGGAAAAGTAAGTATATTGTAATTAGTTTTCTAAGTTGCTATTATAAATAGCTTCTCAATGTCTGTCATATCCAGTCGACTTTAATAGTCGTGGTACTAAATGAAAGGCATTTTCGATAGTGTACGTAGCAGATATATTGTGGTTGATGTGTTATTATACAGAAGATGGAAAAGTAAGTATATTGTAATTAGTTTTCTAAGTTGCTATTATAAACAGCTTCTCAATGTCTGTCATATACAGTCGAATTTAATAGTCGTGGTACTAAATGAAAGGCATCGTCGATAGTGTACGTAGCAGATATATTGTGGTTGATGTGTTATTATACAGAAGATGGAAAAGTAAGTATATTGTAATTAGTTTTCTAAGTTGCTATTATAAATAGCTTCTCAATCACTACTATGTCTGTCGTATCCAGTCGACTTTAATAGTCGTGGTACTAAATGAAACGCCTTGTCGGTAGTGTACATGATTTTTGGTTAACTTGGTAACAGATATACTGTTATACATAATTTTTCATTAAAAGTGATTTATTTAAATCTTTTTTAGGTAGAATGGTTTGTCTCAATGTGGGTGAGGAACTAAAAAACTTGTGTAGTACACTTTGTTTTTTTTTCCAGTACACAAACATAGTACGGTAATGGTTACGTTGGGAAATCAACTAGATGCATGTAGGTGGCGGTACAATAAATTATAGAGGTGACAGTGGGTTTTATTACAGTTGCTGCTACTCGCTACAGCAAATTTGGAACTAAATTCTTCTCGCTCAATACATATTTGCACATCATTTTATAAATGGTCCTTTTCAGGAACTCCACATCGTCCGACACCATTCTCTTCAGCAAATCTTCAAAAGTAACAGAGTTTTTTTATCTTTACAAACACGTTTGTTTCTTTATGCTTTGTTTCAACAAATATTTTATGAGTTTGTATTAACAGTTTCTATTTCCAAACATTCATTAGCCAATAGTGTTGATAGACGCACAGAAATAAATTATAAATAGGTTACTTAAAAAAAAAAATACTTTACTAACATGCACAGTACTTTTATTGGGTTTAAACACTATGCATCTTTAACTCGTAAGCATATAAAAGTAAACAAAAAAGGTTAAAATGTTCATAGATTACTGTTTTTTTTTTACTTGTAGATTGGAGAGAGACTAGTAGTTAAATTTACATATTTATATCTCCTCTACATTAGTATATTATATTTATTTCTAGAATTTGTACCTGGAATGGGTAGTCCATAACTGTCGTAGTATCATCCATATTTTGGAGGACCTATCGACGGCTAGACCACCACTTGATCATTTGTTGGAGTTGCTACCAAAACTCCAGGCTCGCTACTATTCTATTTCTTCTTCGCCAAAGGTAACCAAGGATTTTGTGATTCCTCTAGAACTGTGTAATTAGTTTTATAATTTAATCTTCATCACATATTTACCTAATTTGCTTATACAGATGGTTTCTCGACCACTACTACGTCTGTTTGTATCCCAGCTGGCCCGAAGAGCCCCGGTATTGGATGGACTTTTCTTGTTCCTTAAAATTTGAGTCTGATCAAAGAAGATCCAAACAAACCTTTGACATATCCTACAGACATCTTAAAATGCTGTTGAACACAAAGTTACAAAAAGAAACCTAACCTATTAAACGTACCCTACACTGTTATCTAGTTGCAGCATATTTGTGTGTCAAAAATGAATAACGTAGACTTTGTGTTTGCTTTATTGGTATTTAAAAAAAATGATGCTAATACTCGATGATGATGTCAAAATGTTTTACTTCACTGTTCAGCAGCTCGTGTAAAAACAATTTTTTTATGATAGTGTAATTTTTTCACTGCCGATGCGGCATGGCTTCGTGAGTAAATCATCGACTAAAAAAATATCTGTCTCAGCTAAGTAGATGCAGATTGAATTCCTTCCTTCAAGCCACTTGTGCTAGGATAAGTATTAATAAGTACAAGTATCTGTGTATATATTGTAAAATTTGTGATGTATACATACATGCGCATGTGTGTGTGTGTGTGTGTGTGTGTGTTTATATAAATGGTAGATCAGTTAATCAAAAACAAATCAACTTTCTGTGATCATTTTCCAGCAACACCATGTATTGTAACTACCTAGATTGTAAATTATAAGTGATTTTTATTTATCCGAGGTTTTCATGATGTTTTTGCTTAGATGTATCCAGACTCCATCCACCTCACAGCAGTGTTAATAGAATATGACACACCTACTGGAAGGATAAACCACGGCGTTGCTACCAGTTGGTTAAAAACTAAGACGGTAGACAACGGTAACTGTCCAACTGTACCGATTTATGTTCGACGATCCCAGTTTCGTCTTCCAAGTAAGCCTCAAACACCAGTGATAATGATTGGTCCAGGTACAGGACTTGCTCCTTTCCGTGGTTTTATTCAGGAGAGACATTGCCAGAAGAAAGAAGGTTGGCTAATATTCATTATTATTATTATTATTATTATTACAAGTCGGAGTTTTTGGCATTTGTTTTCCCATAACTAACTTTAATAAATTTCATCTGAACTATTTCATTTTTTTCATTAAACTTCATTGGATTCTTTGAAATAATTTTGAGCTGGTAAAAAATTTTGATAATGAACTTTTTAAATGCTAAAACTGTAAGCAGTTATTAAATGTTTTTGTGTTGTTTTTTTTTTAATATGAAGTTGCATGTTTTTTTTTACCCTTGAATAAATAGCTGTTAAGGTGTTACATTGTAGCCTATTTGTTTTAGAGATAAAATAGCACACGATAAATATTTGTGAAGGTCTTGAATGTTTAAAATCTTCGTGTGTTCAATAGATTCGTCTTTACATTTTAAATTTTTTTCCTCCACCCCATTTCTGTACATTATAGGGGATCATTGTGTGAAATTAAGAAGTAAAAAGAATGTGTCCCAGGTTTGGGGAATACACAAAGATAACATTAAAAAATGGTATGATACAATATTAGCTTATTATGAGAGTACACAGTTGACACAAGTCTTAGCGGTCTCAACTCTTGTATCAGATAAGCATTAATATCAAAGTTAATCTGAGAAAGGTCTTGTGGAAAATTTTGATATAAAACGTGGTCTCTGAGTTGTATAAATGTTGAAAGTGGTTTAGAAAGTTGAAGTTTAGAAAGTATAAATGTTGAAAGTGGTTTAGAAAGTTGAAGTTTAGAAAGTATAAATGTTGAAAGTGGTTTAGAAAGTATAAATGTTGAAAGTGGTTTAGAAAGTATAAATGTTGAAAGTGGTTTAGAAAGTATAAATGTTGAAAGTGGTTTAGAAAGTATAAATGTTGAAAGTATAAGTGAACTTTCTAAACCACTTTCAAGGAAGTTTAG